TGTACACTACTAGGCTGGTCAGTGGTAGCACGCGCCTTTGATCCTAGCACTCAGGAGGCAGAGGCAGATCTCTATGAGTTCAAGGCCACCCTAGTCTACACAGTGAATTCCCAGGACAGTCAGAACTACACAGTGAGATCCTATTTTAAAAAAAAAATTACATAATTAAAAAATAAAAACAAGCCAGGCGGTGGTGGCGCACGCCTTTAATCCCAGCACTCGGGAGGCAGAGGCAGGTGGATCTCTGTGAGTTCGAGGCCAGCCTGGTCTACAGGAGCTAGTTCCAGGACAGGAACCAAAAAGCTACGAAGAAACCCTGTCTCGAAAATTCAAAAAAATAAAAATAAAATAAAAACAAAAACAAAGTGTACACAAAGAAACCCTGTCTCAAAAAAACAAAAAGAAAAAAAGAAAACACATGAAAATGTATATAGTGTACTTCTATATGTAATATATACATTTACAACTAATTTAAAAATAGAAATTTCTTTTTTTGAGAGTATTTAACTCTGAAGGGAGAAGAATGGCAAAAGCGGCTGCTAAGAATACATTCCACAGTGTTGTGAATGTTCTCTTCTTTAGAAAGATCAAACGTGTCCTGGTAGTGGAAACTGACAGAATTGGGTGGCTGGCAGGGGTGGAGTTCATGTTGCGTTTTATACATTATGCTCAGAATAGTTGATATTTTAAAGAAAACTTCAAAGATATTAATTAAACTTTCAAAATATCTGAAAGTACTAGCATTTCTGGAACCATGCAAACAAAATAAGGTACGGAAAAAATACATTGTCACAACAACAGCAAAAAGCCATATTCACCCATAACCAAAATGTTTTTTTAAAAAATTACAAAAATTATAATAACCATATGTTCAAAGACTAAATTAAATGTTATAAATTTGACTGTACAAAATCCATCTGTATTACTGAAATGCTTCTATTTTTACACTGAGATTTCTTACTAATTTTTACTGAAATAAAACTGCCTGATTGTAAGCCTTAAGTTCCTTTTGGTCAAGTTTTATAACAACAAAAATAAAAAGAGGGACATTCACACATGAATCCGCCTTCTCAGTTTTCTGAAGTAAATCAAAACTCAGCTTTGTGGGCACAAATGTCTTTATGAATGGATGGATTTGGCCTATAAAAGGCAAATACCTACAGTCAGATATGACAGCATACACCTGAATACCCAGCACTCAGAAAGCCAAGGCCGGATCTCAAACTCAAGGCCAGCCTCGGCTATCCAAGAGTGTCTGGACAGATCAGGACACATAGTGTGGTCCCATCTCAAGAGTAAAATAAATTAAGGGCAGATTAATAGCTGCCTCACAGCCTGATGGCCGGAGTTCAAACTCTGCAAGCCATGTATAGAGCCAGATGCAGTGGTCTAGACCTAGCAGTCCTGCAAAAAAATTGTTCCAGGATGCTCACTGGCCAGCTAGAACACAGCACAGAAACAAGAGACCTGATTCAACAAGGAAGTGCCTTGTTGCTACATGGTCCGCATGGCACATGCACACCCAAACACACAATAATATGTAACCTTTTAAAATAGCACAAACAATTAGCAAGAGATGATAAATAGTCCAGAGCACAGACTATCAGACAAAAAGGTGCCTGGTTTGAGCAAAGAGGAAAGAGGACACCAACAAGCACTGGGGTAGGGGCATAAAACAGCCAAGCAATGACTCTGCACCCGAGCTAACAGCCTGCTACTGAATACAAGCAAATAGCGCACACCCACCCTTCTTATTCAAGCAGCCTCTAAAGTAAGCTGTATATCAAATTCCTCTACTCCTGTGTCTTCTCAGTATTTTCTTCCCTGTATTGCCCTTTTCCTTTCCACCTTGGCTAAACTTGGCTTTCTGTTCCAGGATTTTCTTATTTGTTTGTTTGCTGCAGTCTTTGTCCAGTTTTAGCCTGGTGAGATGGATGCTCACACGGACAGTTGGACCATTAGCCTTTTCCCTGTACCCATTCAATGGAGACGGCAAATTTTTTCCTGTACACCTGGACCACTCTGCCACTCTGGACCTCTGTACTGTCCTCATACAACCTGAACTCCATCATCCCTTCACTGCGCACAGACCAACCATTATACTTCTGTCTCAGCTCTTCGGAAAGGGAGAAAACATCATCTTCCTCCGAATGTGAGAAGGTGAACTGAAATGCCTTTTTTCAGTTCTTGCTTCAGTAAGAAATCACAAAGGGGTTGAACTTTATTTTGACAGCTGCCTCTCCAGAGACTGTTGCAGACAGGAAGAGGTCTGCATGCCAGTAGATTTCCCTCTAACAGAAGCCCCCCATCTGCCCACCTCAGCCTCCGTGTTTACTTGCTCCTTGGAAATGCTCCAGTTCACGTCTTATTGGACAGAGTCTAAGAGGGGCATGCTTCCTACTGAAGACATGATGTCAGGAAGATGAGGGAGGGGAAGAACAAGGGTGACCTTTACCCCGGGAACTGCCTACCTGACACTATTGCTTGTCCTGGCGTCACAGATGATAATAACTTTTATGCCATCTTACATATTCCTCAGGCTTCCACACTGCATTAATCACAGCACAGAACAACTATCTACTTGAGCATGCATCCTTCCTCATTCTTGAGTGTCTTGGGAGCAAGAACTCAGGATAGTTATTCAATTTGTCTCTATGGAACTTAACATGATGCCTGATACACAGGGATCACCCCAGGAATCTTTGGTGAATAAAAAGTGAACATGGGGGGGGGCTGGAGAGATGGCTCAGTGGTTAAGAGCATTGCCTGCTCTTCCCAAGGTCCTGAATACAAGTTCCGGCAACCACATGGTGGCTCACAACCATCTGTAATGAGGTCTGATGCCCTCTTCTGGCCTGCAGGCATACACACAGACAGAATATTGTATACATAATAAATAAATATTAAAAAAAAGTGAACATGGGTGAGAGAGAGCAAGGAAGAGAAAAGAGAAATAAAAGTAATGCTGAAAAGAGGCGGGCACTGGTGGCGCACGACTTTAAACCCAGCACTCTGGAGGCAGAGACGGGCAGATCTCTGTGAGTTCAAGGCCAGCCTGGTCTAAGAAGTGAGTTCCAGGACAGCCAGGGCTACACAGAGAAACTTTGTCTTAAAAAATAAATAAATAAATAAAAAAGCGACACTGTAAAGGAACACTGCTGTAATGCTCAAGGCACATAATGCCTTGCTTTGTATTATTCACATTAAGAGTCCTTAAGGTCTGAAAAATAAAACATAATTTTCCACTGATGTAAGTTTCTGACCAATTTGAGCTCCTCAGAATTTCATTCCATTTTTTTTTAGTTGCATATATCTGTGTAAGTAGGCCTCCATCAAACCCACTCTTTCACCCTTGACATCTTGGAAACTGAATTCAGTCATGAACGAATGGATAAACACTTCAAGTTCTGGTTGACACAGCCCATGAAATAATCTACACAGGTTCTCTCTTTCTCTCTCTCTCTCTCTCTCTCTCTCTCTCTCTCTCTCTCGATGTGAGCCTAAGAAAACTACACTATGCTGTGATGCAAGGATTTCAGAAACCACTGAGGGAAAAGTTTAGAAAAATAAACTGGGCCGAGCAACCCAGACTACAGCTACCAGACAAGTTTTCAATTTGAAAACATCGGGCTTCTAGGAAATGATTCCTTGAAGAGAGAGCTCAAAGGTTTTTATATTTTAAGTACTCGGTGTTAGGCTGGAGCTCAGTTAAGGGCACTCCCTGCTCTTCCAGCACCCAGATGGTGGCTCAGAACCCTCTGTAACACCAGTTCCAGGTGACCTGACATGGCCTTCTGGCCTCCTCAGGCACAGCACACAAGTGACGAACATAACATGCAGACAAAACATCCACACACATAACAAAAGAAAAAATAAAATAACCTCTCCTGCTTTGCTTTTTCTGACTCATTTCATTAGAGCAAAATGAAAGCATTCACAGCAAGAAGTACAGGTCCCAAGCCTGGGGGAGGCCCGGGCCTGGAATCCCAGAATTCTACAAGCTAAGACGGAGATTTGGGGAATTTGAAGCCAGCATGGACTATACACAGACTCTACTGTGTCAAAACTAAATTAATTCAATAAAAGTTAAAAAGTGCAATTCCTCACATAAGTAATGTAACAAAAGAATAATTAATTATTCCAAAACACCGACTAATCTTCAACACGCTTCCTATATAATTAGACTCTCATATACATGAACATGACTTTGAGAGTTACAAAACAAAATGAGGCACTTCCTAGACTTCTCTTAACCAGGACATTTCAACTGAACTGGTGGCTCACTGCTCAAATATGTAGCATTTTGTTTGATTCAAAATACCTAAATCCTATAACGTCGCTAGGAGCCTCTTAACTACTGTTTCAAGAACGCTGGCAGCCAGTTTGCTTTTACTGTTTATTTATAAGTAAGTTGTACCCCGTCCATCTTTTTCTCATTCAGAAAAGACCTGACTAACGTTGACTCCAACAAATACTGGTTGTTCTGGGCTATTTACAGAGTCTACGAGTTTTCCTGTTCATTCTCTGAGACTAGATCTCGCAGCACCTTCAAAACAGTCAACAAATACAGCTGAAACTGCAACTATCATTGCTTGAATGTGTGTGTGCAGACGGAAGCGACGAGAGTTAACCCTGTTAAGTCCAGGTCTCTAGTTCGGGACTGCCCCTAGGCAGCAGGGTGGTCACCGCTGCACCTTCAACCAAGGGGAAGGGTGTTAACCATGTCTGGAGAAAGCAGGAAGTTTGTATCAGCAACTTGAGCCTCCAGCGAACTTGGCTTTTCCCCACTCCTGCTCTGGGTGACGGGAACAGCCCAGCTAGGTACCCCAACCTCCGACAGGTAGGAGGTGGCCCGGCTAGCGACGCGCCGAGGCTGCCCCCCCCCCCCCCCCCCCCGCCGTCGAGAGCGGCGCCGCCCCTTCGCTCTAAACCAGTTTTCCCAGGCACTTGGGCCGCCGCCCACTTTCCCCTGCACCGAGGGTTGCGGGCACCGCACTCACCCACGTCTTGCTCGAACGGGTTGGCACTGAACAGAGGCATGGCGCCGGCATCCGAAGTTGAATCGCGACGGTACGGCAGGGCTCCGAATGCTCCCGCTGAGTTACCGGCGGTAGCTTCCTAGACGGCTCGCCGGGCCGTGCCCTCACTTCCGCCTCCGCGCCTGCCCCGCGCGCGCCTGTGCGCCCTGAGCCTGGCCGTCCTCCGCTCCAGCGCCGCCGGCGGGGCCGCACGAGGCTTGGCCGAGCACAAACACCCCGCAGTTCCCTCATCGCCCACCTACTAACGTGGCAAACCCTGGCCCGACGCCTGCTCAGGCCCGGCGGCAGCCACGGTCACCTTTCCACGGCGAGGACCCGGGCGAGCCACGGGGGCGGGGGGAAGCTTCGAGGCCGGAAGTTGTCGCAGCTGGAGACGCCGGTGGCCGGCTAGTTGGCTGAGTCCCCGAGGCGAGGCTGGGTGCGCGGTCCCAGGATGTGGTTCCCTTTGCGCCAGACTATAACAGTGGCTCCTCTGTCACGCGAGTACTTCGGTTACCAACCAGGTCACGTCTTAGCCATCAGGACCCCGTGCGTGCTGCGCGTCTCGGTTGCTATGGAAACGGGACCGCCGGCCTCTGGGAGGCGTTGAGAATCTGTCGGTGACGGCTGTGTTGCTGTGGTTCGTTGGATTCTTCGGTTAACCAAGCCGAAATAGTCACTCGGGAAAGCGATCGCGGGGAGATGCTTTGCTTCTCATCTCTCCTATATGAAAATAAAGTTTGGACCATGGAATACAAATTCGAGTGAAGGAGGTGGAGAGATGACTCATCCCTTCAGAGCGCTTGTTGGCAAAGTTCGGTTCTAGTGTCGGCGGGGCGGGTGGGGGAGTGGGGACAAGGGTAAAACAGCCGGTAACTGAGTTCCAGAGAACCTGACACCCTCTTCTGGCCTTGGTTGGCATCAACACTCACGTTCACACACCCACATTCAGAAACATAATTACACATTCTTCTGCTGGGAGTTGTGGCGCATTCCATTAAATCCAGCACTCTGGAGGCAAGAGGCAGATGGATCTAAGTAATCTCCAAAGATGAGTGAAAGTACACTCTTGCTTTTGGCTTGCTCAAGTTTTATAGTGCAAAAACATTTATGATTTGGTTGTTATTAAGAGTCATAAACTCGGGTTCACACAGAATTTAGCCAGGCGTTTAAATGAATGTCATTGTGCAAACCCCCTTCCTGCAAAACATGCCCCGTACTTCTCTACCCTGCTTTATATTTTGTTCATATCATTTATTCTCTAAGGAACAACTAATTGTGATACCTGTCTCTTTTGATTTGAATATATCCATGAATTTTGTTCGCTACTGTGAACCCAGGGTCTTAAAAACAGTATCTGGAAACGTAGGTGGTCAGTAAATACTTCTAGAATGTAGCCCTATTTTTGAATTGAAAAACACATCTCTAAAGCTGGCGCCTTGAGCCAATGAAATAGCTCAGCAGTAACAGCCCTTCCACCCTAAGCCAGAAGAGCTGATGTTCAGTCCCCAGAGGCCACCGTGGAAGGATAGAACCAGTTCATGAAAAGTGTCCTCTGAAGTAGGGCGGTGGTGGGCGCACTCCTTTAATCCCAGCACTCAGGAGGCAGTGCAGGTGGATATCTGTGAGTTCGAGGCCAGCCTGGTCTACAAAAGCTCCAGGGCAGGCTCCAAAACCACAGAGAAACCCTGTCTCGAAAAACCAAAAAAAAAAAAAAGCTAGCTCCAGGCTCCAAAAACTACATGGAGAAACCCTGTCTCAAAAAAAAAAAAAAAGAAAGAAAAGGAAAGGAAAAGGAGGAGGAGAAGGGGGGAGGAGGAAAGGGGGAAAAAGAAGGAGGAAGAGGAAGAAGAGAAGAAGAAAAGAAGAGGAAGAGGAAGGAAAGAAAAGTGTCCTCTGACCTCGGTCTTACGCAATAGTTTGAGGACACCCCGACTCGCACACATGTTTTTTTTTTTTTAATTTAAAAGGTTTTTAGGGTTGGGTGTGGTGGTACAGACAGGTGGATCTATATAGTGATGGATATACAGGGATGCACAGTGAGACCCTGTCTCAAGTAAATTAATTAAAATAAATGTTTTTTTTAAATATTTATTTATTATGTATACAATATTCTTTCTACATGTATGCCTGCAGGCCAGAAGAGGGCACCAGACCTCATTACAGATGGTTGTGAGCCACCATGTGGTTGCCGGTAATTGAACTCAGGACCTTTGGAAGTTGGAAGAGCAGGCAATGCTCTTAACCGCTGAGCCATCTCTCCAGCCCCCTGAAATAAATGTTTTTAAACTAAAACTGGCAGCCACTAGTAAATTTCAACCATTTGTTGAAATGTGGGCTCTTCTAGGCCTCCCAGTTTTTCAATGATTTTTAAGTTTTGAGAATTATTTCAACATTTCGTTATTTATGTTTGGATTCTTGTTTCACTTTTGAGACAGGCTGACCTGTGCAGTGGAGGATTACCTTTCATATCTACGATTTTAAAAAAACAAAAATTATTTTCCAACCTCTAGTATTAGGAAATGATAGTAGAATCCTCATAGGTGGCGTAATCTGGAGTGGTGAACGCATTATCTGCTGTAAAGTTAAGATGGAAACTGGTAGTGGTGGCGCACGCCTTTAATCCTAGCACTCAGGAGGCAGAAGCAGGCGGATCTCTGTGAGTTCGAGGCCAGCCTGGTCTACAGAACAAGTTCCAGGACAGCCATACCTAGAGAAAGAGAAAACCTGTCTTAAAAAACCAAAGAAAAGAAAGAAAGGAAGAAAGAAAGAAAAAGAAAATAAAAAGAAAAGAAAGGAAACATTTGCAGGTTAATGAGCTAGTTTTTTCAAAGCATCTTAATCTAGAATGCTCAGAATATATTTGGACATATTTTAGGGTTAAGGCTCAGGATTAGAATGAAAAGCAAGCTACCTAGAAATGAGGCAGAACCTATTAAATAAGTTTGCTTCTAGCACATAAGGCACTTGGTATTTATTAGAATATAATCTGACATCAATTTACATGTGAGTGAGGAATCGCAGACAGTTTGGGATGCTATCAAAGCACTCAAACACTTTGCAAGGTAATTTAGAAGCACTTCTATTAAGAGCAAAGGGTCGAAGGGTCGAGGCTTAGCCTTTGGAAATCACCATTTTAGAGGCTGTCTGCACCTGCTGTTTAATGAGCATACTCAAGTGTCTGTATTTACCTGCTAGGACTAGTCAGTTAGTGAGTTCCTCTGATTAACCACAGTTTCAGCAGTGACTAGGAGCAAACCCTGTGTTAGCAACAGCAAGATGCACCATTTTGGGGGTTTTATCCCCACTCCATCTATGGGAGGTATTGAGCATTTAAGACATGTCTGACGTAACCTGCAAATTCTGGTGTACAAAGTAATTTGACTTCTGCATTTTTCTTAATGCAATCTCTTGAGTACTTACCTCCCTGGTGACAGGAAATATGATCAGTTTCAGATGAATCCAGTTTCTAGGCTGTTCTTGGTTACTTAGATTTATGATCAACAAATCTGTGGTATCTTTACCTTACACCACTTACTCGTGTATGCACCAAGATTCATCTTCAGATATTCTGATTCTGCCAGTGCATGCTTTTCAAGTTGCCCTTATTATTCCACAACAGGAATAGTGTTTCCCCAGACACACTATAACAAAAGTTGAGTTGGTGAAGAAACACCAAAGGTGGTGTTCTAAATCTTTTGGTTTTTGTTTTTTGAGTTTTTTGAGACAGGGTTTCACTGTTTAGCTCTGGCTGCCCTGAAACTCACTCTGTAGACCAGTCTGGCCCCAAACTCATAGAGATCCACCTGCCTCTGCCTCCTGAGTGCTAGGCACCACACCACCCAGAGGTGCGCTAAATCTTAAAAGAGGAAGAAGCATATTAGAAGATATCTTCTCGGGTGCAATTTCTGCAGGGTCGTCAGGCAAAGGAAGCCATTGTCTTCTAGATAAAGGAAGTAGGTCACTTGTATTCATTCATAGCATCAAGGGAAATCTGGCAGCTCAAAGTCCTAAGTAAGGCTATCCATCCAGACAGCCTCTTCTGGATTCTATAGTTTCATCCTTTACCCATGAGGAACTGAACTAAATGGATTTCATCTTATTAAATTTAAATACCCACATGTGATTAGTGGTTGGGATAGTGAATCACTGTGGAAAACAGGTGAAGGAGAAATGGAAGTGTTTCCTGTATAATTCGTGTTTTATATTTCACTTTCCAAAAGCCCATCTTTGCTTGCTTTCCATATCTGCCTTTTACGTCTTCATTTTTCACATCTGGAAATGTAAGAACTCACTCACCACCTCATCTTCCCCAGCCTATGGGTCACCCTCTTAACTGAACCATTTTTTTTTTTGCACCTGCAGTCAGTATTGAACCACCTAGTGTTAAATGTGTATGTTGTAACCTCAGAAGCAGAACACCAGGACCAGTGTGCTTTGTAAGTTCCATGTCCCTTCTTGCAAAAGCAACGAACCCAGTGCTTAGACTACTACACACCCTGCATTTGTAGTAGGAAAATTTAAAGTGGGGCCTTTGGGTGGTAATTAGATGTCTTAGTTTCTTTTCTATCGGCATGATAAGAAACCATGAACAAAGCAACTTATAAAAGAAAGCATTTAATTTGGAGCTCACATTTAATTTGGAGAGAGTAGTAGATTCATGAAAATCATGGTAAGGAGCATGTTGCTTTTAAGACGCCCAGACTTTGGTACTTAGTTAGCACATCCTGGACAGACACATATACATTGCCCAAGTCCAGTTCGATGCAGATTCCTTCCTCCTAACACCCAGTCCCCATCACTGCTCACCTGAAGTGGGATGAAGGGAGGCAAACAGCACAGAGATAGCTACTCCCCCACCCCCTTTGCTTTGTGTTAGCTTCACTGTTGCTACACAGCACACTGTCTACTGAATGCAAAATACTAATGGCGAGGACCACGGATCCATGGGGCATGAAAATAAATAACGGAATTACTGCTTTCAAGGAGTTATATTCAGACAAGGAGAGAATGACTTATGTAAGTACCAGGAGAGAATACAAAGAAGAAATAAGGGGAATGCCTATGTATACCCTCAGAATAGAGCGATGATATTTTGGTATAGAATCACTTAAAGATGGGCACCGGGGAGAATGCCAATAATCCCAGCACTCAGAAGGCTGCAGCAGAATAATTCCAGGTTTTAAATCAGTCTGGGTTACATTGTGTGCTCCGTCTCACAAGCACAAAAGTAAATAAGTGACGATGGGCAGGGTAGTGTAGGAAAAAATAGTCACTTTGGGAAAATATAGGCTTGGTAAGTAAAGTAAAGAATGAACAGAAATAATTTTTTTCTTTTTTGTTTGTTTGGTTTT